TCTCTGACTTCCAGCCTTCAGAACTGCAGAAAATACGTTTCTATTCTTTAAAAGCCCCCCTGGTCTATGGCAATTCCTTTGGCCTCCAGAACCAACGAAGGTAGCGCCTAACTCACAGAACTGCAAAAAGTGAAATGAATTTAATACATGTAAAGTGGCTGAAAGTCTGCATCACACATACGACCAAGTTGATGTCCATTAGTATCACTTTCTTTCTTTTTTTTTTTTTTTTTTTTGAGACAGAGTTTCGCTCTTGTTACCCAGGCTGGAGTGCAATGGCGCGATCTCGGCTCACCGCAACCTCCGCCTCCTGGGTTCAGGCAATTCTCCTGCCTCAGCCTCCCGAGTAGCTGGGATTACAGGCACGCACCACCATGCCCAGCCCATTTTTTATATTTTTAGTAGAGACGGGGTTTCACCACGTTGACCAGGATGGTCTCGATCTCTTGACCTCGTGATCCACCCGCCTCGGCCTCCCAAAGTGCTGGGATTACAGGCTTGAGCCACCGCGCCCAGCCCAGTATCACTTTAAGGAAAATACCATTTTCTTACAAGAGACTTTACATACATCTGCCTCTGATTCTTCAGAATTAAGGAAGAACATCAAGCACCCTCCTTGCATGAGGGCCAGGGCTATGTGGAGGAAGGGCCAGCAGGCAGTGTGGCTGGTGGTGGTGGTCCACTGTGGATAAGGCCACTCAACCAAAAGAAGACAAATTCCACAAATCTAACCCAAGTTCCAGGTTTAGGGGAATACATGTTCCAACTTCCAAGTGGCCATCTTATGAGAAATTACCAAAGCCCAGTTTAATTGGGGATGGCCTGAATATGGTGATGACATCGGTGACGGGGACGTGGTCCTCGGGAATCTGTGGGCTGTGTGCTGGGTGGCAGGGAGACGGAGGCTTTTGCAGTCTCTCCACTTCCATTACGGTCTCCCTATCCCAGTCAGGGTTGGTGTATTTATCTTGATTGTTAAAAATGTGAGTTTTTTCCTGGCAGTTCTCAGTCACAGGCTGGAAATATTCCCGCTTGGTCACTTGGCCCCTGTCAATGCCAGCCCAAGCTCCTTCCCACACGGACCCCTCATTGTGAATCTCCCTTTGACTAGGCACCCAGCCATTGTGGCCAGCTCTCTTCACAGCTTTTAGCTTTAGAGATTTGTGTCAATTGGATGTAAAAGCCCAGGGGTCTACACCCTTCATCTTTTCCAAGGGCTTGTTTTCAGTGCCTGGATTTCTACCAAATGCTGAGTCTAACCCTAAGCACCATAGTTTTGGGCTTCCAACATCTTTGTCAGGGTTCCCAGATGGGTCTTCCCCCGGCCCTCTGTTGTGTTTGGAGGCCAATATCAGCAGAGAGTATTATATTAGTACGACTACAACTCAATTGCATGTTAATTTCATCCGGGAGTGGGGTGGGCTCTCAGATCGCATTATAATAGCAGGGATGAGAAACCACATTGTTGCTTCCAATCCACATTTCCGCTGCCTCCTGCTGCTCTGCCTCTGAGTTTATACCTCCTTCCTCACTCATTCTGAGGTTATTTCTGCTTACTCAACAGGGGAGAGGAGAAATATTGATATTCAAACTACAATACACTTTCAAGGCTGAAAACTGTCATTGTAGCCTTTACATATGCTATTTTCTCGGGGAGCCTTTAAAGAGAGAGGGGACTTATGAGCTAGGAAGATTCTCGGTGAAAATGGATGAAGGCTATTGAAAGGGAAGGCCTTCGGTGGCTGCTGTCCATCCTCTATAGTGACAGGTACAATTCTTCATGGTTACTTTTCCTTCCTAAACATGTTCACAGTCTATTGCATTTACTGTGTTGTAGAGCCTGTCAATTGTAGAACAGTGATCTAAAAACAATGCACATTGTATATTCAGATGGCAAATTTCGCATGGAAAAAATGCATCAGAACCATTTGGTCTAGCCAAGACTAGCCCAGGTCAAGTTCACCTCCAGAGAATTGCCATTTCAAGGTACTCGGACAGAAATCCTCTCACTGCTAAGAGTTTGAGTGCTTGTATGGATTTCCAGGGTTAGTTGAAATATTCTGTTTATGAGAAACATGGAAAGCAATTCCTGCAGGGAATCCTGCATTTCCTGAAGAATTGAAAAGTTGTCTTACATGTAGATAGAAATTGAGAGCATGGTGCCAACATCTCAGGAGCCCGGCGGCTCAGCAGCCCACAGCCAGGGATTTGCAAGGAGAGAATTTTCATCTATAGGCAGCTTGGGAGATTCCCAGTTTGACTTTCTGAAAGAATTACTGCCTGACGCAAGCAGCTCTGTTTTCATCTGCCTTCTTGTTTATGCTCTTCTTTACCCTCGGCCTTTCTGAGCCAGATGTGTATCAGAGGCCTAGAGATTTCTCTTTACAGCTATGGATCTGGGTCTTGGAAAACTCACGTACAGCAGAAAAACCTACCAGTAATGACTTCAGGTGGACCCAACCCCCCTGAGGGCTGGCTGGCAGCACCTGGCTCTCCTCCAAGGTCAGCCATGCTTGGGTCTGCATGTTGTGGGCTGTGATTTGGGGGCTCCAGAGTTTGCCCCCCTTTCTTCCTGTTACCAACAGGGATCGTGAGAGGACTTGAGGGAGTTTGAAGAGAAAGGGGTGGAGGGAGTGTCCAGTGTTGCAGAGCAACCCAGAGTGCAGACTTGTTGATGGAAGGCTGTATGAAGTCCAGGGACCAAATGCTCTCTATTTATGATCAATCAGCTGGAATCTCAGACTAAACATCTGAAACCCAGCAAGCCAAGAGCATTCAAATCCTAGAGCCCTCCATAGGTAAAAGGAAATTGCATTGTCTTTTTTTTTTAAATTGTACTTTAAGCTCTGGGCTACATGTGCTTATCCTGCAGGATTGTGGCATAGGTACACGTATGCCGTGGTGGTTTGCTGTCTCTGTCCCCCTGTCATCTACATCAGGCATTTCTCCTGGTGTTATCCCTCCCCAACCCCCCTCCCTCCCCCACTGGGCCTCCTCTCCCCTGGTCCCCCACCTCCTAATCTACCCCAGTGTGGGATGTTCCCCTCCCTGTGCCCATGTGTTCTCATTGTTCATCACCTGCCTATGAATGAAAACATGCAGTGTTTGGTTTTCTGTTCTTGTGTCAGTTTGCTGAGAATTATGGTTTCCAGATTTGTCCATGTCCCTACAAAGGACATGAACTTATTGCTTTTTATGGCTGTATAGTGTTCCATGGTGTATATGTGCCACAATTTCTTTGTCCAGTCTATCATTGATGAGCATTTGGGTTGGTTCCAGGTCTTTGCTATTGTAAACAGTGCCACAACAAACGTAAGTGTGCATGTGTCTTTATAATAGAACGATTTATAATCCTTTGGGTGTATACCTGTAATGGGATTGCTGGATCAAATGGAATTTCTATTTCTAGATACTTGAGGAATCTCCACACTGTTATTTTCTTACTACCTTTCCAACAAACAGGGTCTGGAATGTGGGAAGAAGAAACAGTGAAGGAGGCTATGCTTTGTGATGTTAAAACGTGCTTTTCTTTCATGTTACTTTGTGGAAAAAGTAGAGATTTGACCTCTATTTTTAACCATGGAGAAGGGAGGTTCTTGGGCAAAGACATCGGCATCATGCTCAAATTGCCAGACACTTTCAGCCTGGCAATGTGTACCGTGTAGAGGTGCATAGAAGGGCGTGGGTCACTGTGAAGTTGCTTAGTGATTGAGGAAGAGGACGTTGCCTGAGTATGGCATGCACTCACGGGGGTTCTCCTACACTCTCTTTCCTTCTTGTACATTATTAGTAAATGACAGCATCTTTATTTAAAAGTTTGATTCTCTGTTCACATTTTGAGAGACTTTTAAGTCACATTAGTCTGTTCTCATGTGGCTAATAGACAAATCCACAACTGGATAATTCTAAGAAGGTGTTTTAATTGACTCATAGTTCCATGGATCTGGGGAGGCCTCAGGAAGCTTACACTCAAGGGTGGAAGGGGAAGCAAACACATCCTTCTTCACATGGTGGCAGCTGGCAGAAGTGTGCAGTGAGGTGGGTAAGAGCCCCTTATAAAATGATCAGATCTCATGAAAATTCACTCAGTATCATGAGAACACCATGGCGGTAACCGGCCACGTGATTCAAATACCTCCTGCAGGAGGTTAGATTTTTATTAGAAGTGATTGTTCATATCCTTTGACAACTTTTTGATGGGGGTGTTTGTTTTCCTCTTGTAAATTTAAGTTTCTTGTAGACTCTGGATATTAGACGTTTGTCAGATAGGTAGACTGCAAACATTTCCTCCCGTTCCGTAGGCTGTCTGTTCACACTGGTGACAGGGATTTTGTGTGGTGGTTGTTATGTGAAGCTCTTCAGTTTGATTAGATCTCATTTGTCAGTTTTGGCTTTCGTCAATGGAAATTGCTTTTGGTGTTTTCGTCATGAAGTCTTTGCTCATGCCTTTGTCCTGAATAGTATTGCCTAAGTTTTTTTCTAGAGTTTTTATGGTTTGGGTTTTACATGTAAGTCTTTAATCCATCTTCAGTTAATTTTCTTATATGGTGTAAGGAAGGGGTCCAGTTTCAGTTTTCTGCATAAGGCTAGCAAGTTATCCTAATGGGCAAAGGATATGAACAGACACTTCTCAAAAGAAGACATTTATGCAGCCAACAAACATATGAAAAAATGCTCATCACTGGTCATTAGAGAAATGCAAATCAAAACCACATTGAGATACCAAATCACACCAGTTACAATGGCAGCCATTAAAAAATCATGAGACAACAGATGCAGAAGAGGACGTAGAGAAATAGAAACACTTTTACACTGTTGGTGGGAGTGAAAATTAGCTCAACCATTGTGGGAGACAGTGTGGCGATTCCTCAAGGATCTAACCCTCCTTATGGTGTCTTCTGGCATTCTCTGACCAGCAGGGAGAGGTCCCCTGATTTCAAGGACATTTGTGGTGACACTGGGCACCCAGAGATAATCCAGGATTATCTCCCCATCTCCAGGTCCTTAACTCAAATGTTGCACTGGAGCGAGCAGAAAACCAACACCAAGACAAAGGTATGCCAAACTGCAGGGTCTTTGCTGCCGGCGGCCACGGAGGACTCCTGTCTCTCCAACCTGTGGCCCCGAGCTCAGGGGGAGCAAGGCATTGAAGTTGCTTAATGTCCTTGTTCAGGGGGGCCCAGGGTGTGCAAGGCAAGCTCTCTGTACAGAATTAAAGCTAGCGGCTTGTTGCAAGGGGAGGGGAGTAGCAGTGGAAATTTTTACCCTTAACACCTCTGAGTACAGAAACAGTTCTGAGAACTACACCTCTGCCCAGGGCTCAGGTGGCTTCTGTGTAAGATGGCAGTGCTGAGGCTTCTGCTTTAGCCCCTATCTCATTCCCCCTGTTGTTCTGTATATGAATCAAATCATTGATTCCTGATTAAGACTGTTTGCTCAGTGTGGCTCAAAGGCCCACACTGGCATCTTAGGACAGGACATTAACTTTACAGAATTAATTCTTGTCTGGATTATTCTGAGTAGCTGATTTAAAAGGCAAGGGCCAGACATTAGTCCCAATATGAGTAGGGTTAGGGGTCCTGCCAATCCTGTGACTAGGGAAATGAACCAGGGGGACCAGGAGAACATTTTTTGATACCAACTTTCAGAAGCTTTTCGGAGGTGTTTTCTGTTTTCTAGATTTTGTTTAAGTAGGGCGAGGCTGTCTCGGATAAGTACGGATTTAGTGGTGTGCAAACAGCATTGTTCATTGAGAGCTGCTGTTTTAGGAATAGTAAGTTTGGCCCTCGTCTGTTCTGGATGCCATCTCGGCTAGGGAGTTTGGCCCTCATCTGTTCTGGATACCATCTCGGCTAGGGAGTTTGGCCCTCGTCTGTTCTGGATACCATCTCGGCTAGGGAGTGTGCCTGGCTCCCACATGCCACCTGTCCATATATACCCTGAGCCCCAAGTTCGCCCTGGGGTAGTTACAGTTATTTTAACTGGGTTACAGGACCTGGCAGAGCCCTGGGATGGGGGAGACATCCACTGAAAGGAGATGAATGAGTCTTTGTCTTTGATATGTTTTGATATGGTAGAGATAGTTTCACATCCCCAGTGGGGGCAAAGGGACTCATTGACATCTCCACAGTTCCATGTTTTTGGTGGCCCCGGGCATGAGTATAATCCCATAGTCTGGAGTTTTCATTGTGTGTGTGCCACCACATCCCACTTCCTATGCCCCGACTCTGTTTCCCCCTCTTCCCTTAGTCATGGTATTTTCACTGGCCCTGATATTCAGGCTTTTGCCCAGGAGGGCACAGCGGTCTAAAGTGAAGACAACTTGGTTTTATTTGAGGTGTACTCAAGGGTTAAGTTGACAAGAGTGGATCCCTGTCCTATTAGGGAACCAACAGACTCTTCCGTGGAGCCCACGGTAAGGATCCATTGATAGTAGCTGGGCTCCATGGGGGCTTACAGTAAGGGCCAAAAAGGTGGTGACCCCGAAGAGTGCAAAAGTCTCAGCTTTAGTGGGTCCAGTGATGAGTAATTGATGCTCCATTGCTTTTTCAGTGAGGCAGTCTTGACGTGGGTGTGCTGAATCCAGGCAGTCAATCTGTCCGCCTTGAGTGCAGTGGGGGTGGTCAGGATAACTGTGTGGGGTGAGGCAGGAGGTGGTGAATTTTTTTTAACAAGGACCAGGTCTCCAGGCTGGAAGGGGTGCATCAGCTGGGCAGTGAGGTTCACTGGGGTGGAACGAGTGTCTTTGAGGAGCTGGTGCACCTGGGATTGAACAGACTGGAATGCCTGTTGGGACTTAAGGAGTACACAGTTATGGACTTCAGTTTGACGGTGTTTGTGGGTTTGGGGAGCAAGGGAAGAGGTGTGTCACACACAATTTTAAAGGGGGAGAAGCCTTTTTGGTAGGGTACGTATCAGACATGCAGGGGGACAAAAGGAAGCAGGCTGACCCAGTTTTCACCAGTCTCTAGGGTGAACTTTGTTAGTTTCTTTATGGTCTGGTTCATTCTCTTAACCTGCCCTGAACTATGGGGGCGATAGGCATAGTGTACTTTCCAGGATGTGCCCAGGGCCTTGGCCAGGCCCTGAGAAACTTACGCAGTGAAAGCCGGGCCATTATCTGATTCCAGAGTCACGGGCAGGCTGGACCGAGGGACCAGGTCCTGTAATAGTTTTTTGTAACCACTGAAGTGGTCTCAGACCTAGTGCGGGAGGCTTTGGCCCATCCGGGGTCTGCTCCTGCTCCAAGCCTGCATACAGCGTCTGCCCTGTCAGGCAGGGACGCCACTGCCTGGATCTTTGATTTTTGTCATGGTCTGGCTGTTTGCCCATGAGCTGCGTCTGCTCTGTGACTGCTGTAGGCATTTCTCCCACTATAAGCTACCACACGGCTTATCAGCACTAAATGTGTCGGTATAGCTCCAACTACATGCAGGATTCTATCAAGGAAACAGCTGAGTAATAGTATTACAAACTAAGGTTTTTCTTAGGCACTGATTGTGCCTGTGGTCGTGAGTTTTATTTTTCTTGGTGCCCATGGTGGGTATTACCCATGTATCAGGATGGGCCCGGGTGTGGGCCTCCTAGCCGCCCCCTTAACCCCTGTTAAAAGATACCGGTGAAAAGTGTTCAGAGCCTGGTGACCCCCGAGGTGTTGGGGTCCCATTGGGGTCAGGTAGAGGGAAAAATGTCTCTAATCTGGTCTCGGTTTTCCTCTACTGTACCTTTTACCAGACCTATAATGGCCTTAAGGGCCTTTTATTTAATCCTGCTTTGTTCTTCGGTGGTAGACAGAATGAGAAGTGACTGCTGACGTCATTCCAAGTGGGGCGGTGAGTCTGCAGAACTGACTCCAGCAGTCCTGTGAGTGCCACGGCTTTTCAGAGAACGGAGGGTGCTGAGCCTCCCAATTGTACAAGTCACCTGAGGAAAGGGGCATGTGGACAAAGAATGGGTGACCCTGGCTACTGTCTTCCATGGGGGGCATCTTTTGGAGGTGGGTGTGGGCCCCTCTGTGGGTATGCAGTGGGGACAAGGGCTGGCTACTGGTGCTGTCTGGGTGGAGTGTTGAGGTTCTGGCCTAGGCCTAGGGTAAGGTGGGGGCAACTCTTGTTCCTCCTTCATGGTCCTTTTTATGCAGTTGATTAACTGTGGTGTCGGGGGCGGGAGGCATCAGAACAGATTTAGCCACTGATCAATGTATGGGTCACGGTGCCCAGAGGGACCTGTCACAACATTCCATACTGCTTGGGTGAATTTTGGATTGTAGGTTCCCGTGTCTGGCTACCCCACTCCAAATGCCGGCCACTCTAGTTCGCACAATGTGCGGAGTTTTCCCGGTGTTAATTTTCCCCTATGTCCTGAAAACCCCATTTTGAAATTGGCCGTCATGCATTGGAGCGGGGTGCCAGGCCGGGAGCTAGATGACCCCATTTGGTTTTTCTCAGGGTCCTGGAACCGGTTTTAACTATGCTTTTTTGGTTTGTTTTAAGCCAATATAGATGGAAAAGTTCTGCTATAGAGAGAGCCAATTTTAAGCAAGACAAATTATACTGAACTTCAAAGTTCTATAGCTGTTAGCTTTTGAAGTTTTCCGAGAGGTTTCCTCTCAAATTTAAGACTGGCTCCACCGAGGATTTGAACCAGCAACTTTACAGTTGCAGGCCCTATACTTTAACTACTGTGCTAACATACCACTTGTAGTAAAGGTAGGCAGAAAGCTTTCTTGAGTCGTATTTTGGATGCAAATGCTGCACCCTGAGGTGGTGTGGCCTGCCTGGAAGCCGGGCGGGGCTGGCAGTTGGGAGAGAAAGGAAAAACACTTTTGGTGTCAGTTTAAAACAGCCCACAGCTGCCCTGAGCTCGCAGCTGCTAGGCTGGCTGCAAGTTTCCCACCCCAGTGGTTTTTGTTCATCTTGACACAGGGACCCTGAGAAGCATTAAATTTCTCTCTCCCTATTTCTCTCCTTTCTCCTCTTCCCCTCCCCTACTTTCTTGTCCTCTCTCCTCTGACAGAAGAGACAATTACTCCTTTTTCACCCTAAATGAGTGAAGAGGCCTGCTCGTTTCTTATTTAAGGTTTGATTTCCTAAGACAAAAGTTACACCCAAGTTGCTGAGGGCAGAATTTTCCCTTAGACATGAAAAAGAGGAAGAATGAGGAAAGGAAGAGTGAGGCCTCCGTGACAGAAAATGAGTAGGAAGAGGAAAGAGCAGTTATTTCCAGAGGCATGAACTCAGTAAAGGTCCCTGCAGCCAGTGTAGAATGTTTTCTACCTTAAGGGAGGCAGGCCTGAACCACTGTTTAACAGCCAACAAGAGTCTAACAAAACTGGTGAATTTACAGTAAGGACAGAACCACATACAGGATGAACAAAGGATGGGTGCCCCAGATGGGAGATTGTCTTGGCTAAGGTGTACCCATATAACCCCCGGGCCCAGTCACCTCAGAATTTTTAGTTCTGAGATGAATCACCGTTATGCCTTATGATGCTCCCGTGGAACCGTGGGTGAAGGCCCTCACAAGCCCCATAGCCTACTGGCCATGGGACTACACATATACACACTCACACAGAGGTTACGGAAAACCACCGAAAACTAATACCAGAGCCTCCGCACAATCAGAGGTTACAGAAAACCGGGAGCCTCGGGCGACATCTCGGGGAGGCTTGCCTGGTCAGAGTTGCAGTGACCGTGTCCAATCCCTGGCTCGGGCTACAGATACCAATGGACCAGTCCCAGATTCCAGACTGGACTCACCTCCAGAGGTTCCCAGGACCCTGAAGAATTTTAGGTGAACGTTGGCAGTGCGGTCACACAGTCGCCATGGGGCCTGAACTCTAGGGCCGTGGAACGTCTCAGGGGGTGCCTCCCCTAGGGATCCCCAGGGCGAGGTCAACTGCCCAGCTGAAGCTTTGAGATGGCTTTTGTCTGGTGATGGATGGAGAAAAAGATCTTGCTGGGCCCTCCAGAATGTTGCACCGGAGCGAGTGGAAATTCAACACCAAGACAAAGGTATGCCAAATTGCAGGGTCTTTATTGCCGGTGGCCACGGAGGACTCCTGTCTCTCCAACCCGTGGCCCCAAGCTCAGGGGGGTAGCAGTGGAAATTTTTACCCTTAACACCTCTGAGAACTACACCTCTGCCCAGGGCCCAGGTGGCTTCTCTATAAGATGGCAGTGCTGAGGCTTCTGCTTTAGCCCCTATCTATCTCACAAACACATTTGCAAAGTCCATTCACCATGTAAAGTCAAGTCACAGAGTCACAGGTTTTAGGGATTAGGATATAAATGTCTTAGGTCTGCAGACCACAGAAGGGATTTCCAAGCCTCATTTTAAAAGCATTAATTGTGGTTAACCAGTAAATTCTTTTTACTCTCTGGTGTTCTTGAAGAATTCTCTGACTTCTGTTTCCTGTCTACCAGGTTGTGTTTACTTCAGGAAGAAGAGTCCCCATGCTCCTGCAGCTCTGCCATGGTACCACGAGGCCCAGGGTATGAAATAAAAAGGGCGTTTCACTCGGGCATGTGCTTTCTGTGTGAGGGCAGTTCCTGCCCTCCTAAGCACACATGGGGCACCTGCCCAATGCTCAAGCAGAACCTGCTCTTTGCTTGTCCTCCTGGGCCATCTCTCTACCTCTACAGAGCCGAGTATGTCTTCCCTGAGAGAGACAGCCCCACTCTGAAAGCCCTCACAGACTCAGGGCTCCCTGTGCTCACACCAGCTCTCTGTCCTTCCCCCCATCCAAGCTGTCGCCCTCATGTGAGCAGTTTGGAAGAGACAGAGGAGGAAGCATCCTCCTCCTGCTCCCCAGGTGGAAGATTCTTCACATCTTTCCCAATTTTCATGTCTGTAATAAGTTTACCTATTTCTTCATACCTTTTGTCCTATTTCTCGGTCTGTTCTGAGTCCTGCCTTTCTTTTGGATCATTTGTCAAAGTAAAGGCTGAAATTTGTGCGATATAATGTAGAATTAACCTTATCCATAGATCGTACTTGGAAAGGAGTTCCTTTTACATCTCCAGTGTCGGGATTATACGGTACCACCTTTAACTCTCTCTAAGAGCAATAAGCCTTTGTATAATTGGGGTTTCTGAGAGTGAGTTAATTTCTCTCTCACATGGCAAAGCTTTTATACCCAATATGAGTTTTAATAACCAATATGATATTTTCAGTATTTACTTAAAATACAACTGTCTGAACATTAGCTCCTGTGAATGCCACTTTATCCTTAAGAGACGTTGAAAATCGCTGTCTGAGAAAGTACTCTCTTAATTATTCTACTAATGCCATATGTTGTCCACTTACTCACCGAATAGCCAGTGGACTCCAAGGAGCAGTGAGAATATGAGAAAAGGCACTCTGGTCTGTCCGTTCCGCTGCCCTGCTCAGGAACTCAGTGGAGCAAGCACTTCCAGAGCTGGCCAGGCTCCCCACCTGGCTCTTCCACCCCGTGCTGACCTGTGAACTATCGAATCCTGTGGTCAGCATTTTCACAAATCATCATCTCTGTTCTCAACAGGTAATAAACAAAAATCGAGTCCAAAAATCTGTTGTTGGGACAATGGCATGTTTAAAACACATCCCAAAGCATTGTTGTCTAAGCAGTGAAATGGTTCTCTACGTTTTAGCTCAAAACGGAGTAGAACTAACTTGTAACCAATGATTAATAATATGAGCTCACACTGCTAGCACTTAGGGCTCTGAAAACTCAAAGCTGTTTATAAATTTGGCACCAGAACTCATCAGCCAGCAAAGCTGGATATGAACGAACGGAAATACACTTGTGAGTTTATTTATTCCATGATGTGTTTGATTACATGGTGATCTCTTAAATGTTGTAGGTGTGACATATATGGTTATAGGCATTCTAATGCTTTTTTTAAGTCCAACATTTTCTAATTTCCAAATATATCTGACTATAGGAGATTTGGACAAGGCATTGTGGGCTTATAGGTGGTGTTAATACTTCATATTACAAGATTGAGTTACCTTCAAGGTTACATTTTTTGTTTTTGAGATGGAGTTTCGCTCTTGTTACCCAGGCTGGAGTGCAATGGCACGATCTCGGCTCACCGCAACCTCCGCCTCCTGGGTTCAGGCAATTCTCCCGCCTCAGCCTCCTGAGTAGCTGGGATTACAGGCACGCGCCACCATGCCCAGCTAATTTTTTGTATTTTTAGTAGAGACGGGGTTTCACCATGTTGACCAGGATGGTCTCGATCTCTTGACCTTGTGATCCACCCGCCTCGGCCTCCCAAAGTGCTGGGATTACAGGCTTGAGCCACCGCGTCCGGCCTCAAGGTTACATATAACTACTATCTACATGGTACCAAAAGATCCATAAAAATGTAAAAATAGCTGTGAGCAATTTTTAGACCTGAACACTGCCCAACTACATTTTTTCATTTTCAAACAGTTGGGCAGACACCAGTTTAATAAGCAGTACAGAAATTCTCCTTGTTCAGTCAGATGAAATTCATTGAACATGGATTGTGTGCATCCTTCTTTGCAGTGCCCTGTGATAGCGAAAACAAAACCATTGGCTACACAGACATCTGAAAAATAGTCTCACCTTCTGTGAAATGTTTACATACGTCTTAAAGCTGTAACTTCCACCTGCTCCTGAACTGGTTCCGTCTTCCTCGTCTCAGCTCTCAGTTGTCATTAATAGTGAGGTCATGTAATTCCTGCATTGAGCATGGTAATCAAGCTCATTAACGTTTTGGACACTTCACCAGCTGTTATCCCTACCGTTAAACTTACCTTTCATTCTGTTTCCTGAAGCTTTTGTCATAGTTATGTAAAAGCTTCAAAACCTTCTTGAGAAGTTCAAATTAGGGATTTATTTTGAACTTGAAACTTACAGCCCCCGTGTTTATCTGCATTTCTTTGATGTAACATCAGACTGAATTTATAAAGAGAGGCAACAGACTTCTCTGGACAAACATTGCTTCTGGTAGGATCAGAAGTTCAATGAAAACAGCTTCCTCAAGGGATTTAGAAGAGATTTTTTTCCAGGCTAGGTTGGAAATCAAAAGGAGGGAAAACAGGTTGTTCGAACCTTTCAGAAACTCTAAGAAGAATGCATTTGGCTCAAAAATTAAGTCAAAGTTCTGGACAACAAAATAGAATAATAAATTTTTTAAAACATGAATATGTATATTAGGAATGCCTGTTTCATTGAACTTTTAATTAAATCTAAGTTTTCATGATTTCAAAAGCTGTGTTATGCCTAAGTTAGAAAGCAAAGATGAAGATTGAGAGTGGTGTATTCCACACCTAGAGGATGGCACCGCCCACCCCAGGCAGAGCTGCCTCCGGACCCTCTTCACTGCACGTATACACACAACATTATGGTTTCACCAAAATCAATTCATACTGTACATGGTATTTTAAACCTAACAATGGATATCAATCATTTTATGTCAAAAACATATGCAATAAATTTCCTTCATCTTCTGAAGAGTTCCCTCCACTCCCTTCTGTCCAAAACAGATCCAATCCATGACTAATCACTGGATTTGGTGGTGGTGGCCCTTACGTTTCTCTCCGCTTGGCACCGTCCACCTCCTGCCCCCATTTCTTTATTCATGTCACAAAATTATTAAAAAACAAAATTCACAAGCTGATTGTCTTGAGGAAAATATTCAGCCTTCTGGATGTACCTGGTGGTGTCCCTGTAATCGATCTCAGTTTAATCCTCTGAGTCTTGTACTTTCTACAAATTGGTAGCTGGATTTGCAAGCTAAATGGAATCACACAAAATATTTTGCCAGCATCATTCTCTGTGATGTAGTGTGATTCATGTTGCATCTCATCGGGAGGCACGACTGATGGTTAGTGATGGGAAATCAACAGCTGAATTCGAGTCATACTTGACCCCTCCACATACAGTTAGAGTTTTCACCTCACTTCTCGGAACTAGTCTATGTGGAATTACTTTAGCCTGTGCAGATACCCAGTTTCCCAGGAATGCAATGGAACAGTTTTATTTTTATATTTTATAGTAGCTTTGTCTTTTTTTCTATTATTATGATACTTTAAGTTCTGGGGCACGTGTGCAGATCATGCAGGTTTGTTACATACATATACACGTGCCATGGTGGTTTCCTGCATCCATCGCCCCCTCATCTACATTAGGTACTTCTCCTAATGCTACCCCTCCTCAGTCTCCCCACTCCCTGCTATCTCTCCCCTAGCCCCTCACCCCGACAGGCCTCGGTGTGTGATGTCCCCTTCCCCGGAACAGTTTTAATGCCACTTAGTAACCCTTGTGGTGACATAATGCTTTTTCTAATTCAGTCATATCATTAATTCAGACCGTTATTAGCTGCTTTCTCATATAACAAAGAGCTTTCTTTACCACTCAGAGTTATTTCTTCACCTCCCCTATAGTTTCTACTGGAGGAGCCAAATAAAGACATCAGTTCTAAACAAGATAGCCTGAGTTTTCAGTATTTCTTCCTGGCATCTCCTTTTCTGAGTTCAAAGAACCTGTGTTTTCATTGATGAAATGCATTCCCACTGCTACAACAGAATACCTGGGTTCCTTCGGTGTGTTCCTGTTGGTCTTGGAACCCTTTCTTGTACGGCACCTGTACCTTCAGGTATTGCTTGTACCATCATTTCTCCAGGGAGCCAGTGATTTGCTCATGAGTAACTGCAGGAGATTAAAATTCGGCTTTGATTAGACGGCTAAATCCCTAGAAAGTTAAAAGGCATTTCTGTCGATTTCTGTTGATGAAGGAGACCTCAGGTGTAAAAGGCCAAACTGTGATTCAAAATGGAAAGTGTCATTCAGAGTGACCTCTCCATATGTGTTTATGGAAAACTCAGGACAAAAATTAACCAAATAATTGTAGGGTTTTACCCCCAGAATTATACAAGTTTGCTTAAGTCAATGTTAGACATGCAGCCAGATCGAATTTAAGCTCAATTCCGGACTTCCTCTCACTGGAAAACTGAATGCAGACTCCCACAACTAAATCTCAAGCCCATCTGTTACTAACAGCATTCCTATAATATTGAATTGATTTAATCAGAGTCAACTGGGTAATGGTACAGCCAGCTGGACGTGGGACACACAAGAGGGAAGGGTACTCTCTGTGACAAGGAATGGTCCATCAGAAAGGAATGAGCAGAACACTTCCTCCTGTCCTACAAGCTTTGCAATCCTGGCAGCAGATTCCATGCAACATTTGGGACACACTTACACTAAATAAAACATTTTACACACACAAACACACACACACACATATATAAATTTTAATTCCAGATAAAATTTATATGTGGAATTAAAATTCAACTGGGAATCTTGTGTTTGATTTAGCAGCCTTGTTGGGAGCACACAATGCCCCCACCTCCTCACACTGCCCCCCAAACTCCAGCCTCCACAGAGTGCACAATGCCCCGAACTCCTCACATTGCCCCCCAAACTCCAGCCTCCACTTCCTCACACTGCCCCCCTAACTCCAGCCTCCACAGAGCTCACAATGCCCCGACCTACTCACACTGCCCCCCAAACTCCAACCTTCACGAGTGCACAAGGCCCCCACCTCCTCACACTGCCCGCCAAATTCCAGTCTCCACGAGTGCACGCCTCCACCTGTTCACACTGCCCCCCAGACTCCAGCCTCCACAGAGTGCACAAGGCCCCCACCTCCTCACACTGCCCCCCAAATTCCAGTCTCCACGAGTGCAATGCCTCCACATCCTACTGCCCCCCAAACTCCAGCCTCCACAACGAGTGCACAACGCCTCCACCCCTTCACACTGACCCCCAAATTCCAGCCTCCACAGAGTGCACAATGCCCCCACCTCCTCACACTGCCCCCCAAACTCCAGCCTCCACAGAGAGTGCACAATGCCCCCACCTCCTCACACTGCCCCCCAAACTCCAGCCTCCACAGAGTGCACAATGCCCTCACCTCCTCACACTGCCTCCCAAACTCCAGCCTCCACAGAGTGCACAATGCCCCCACCTCCTCACACTGCCCCCCAAACTCCAGCCTCCACAGAGAGTGCACAATGCCCCCACCTCCTCTCACTGCCTCCTAAACTCCAGCCTCCACAGAGAGTGCACAATGCCCCCACCTCCTCACACTGCCCCCCAAACTCCAGCCTCCACAGAGAATGCACAATGCCCCCACCTCCTCACACTGCACCCCAAACTCCAGCCTCCACAGAGAGTGCACAATGCCCCCACCTCCTCACACTGCCCCCCAAACTCCAGCCTCCACAGAGAGTGCACAATGCCCCCACCTCCTCACACTGCCCCCCAAACTCCAGCCTCCACAGAGAGTGCACAATGCCCCCACCTCCTCACACTGCCCCCCAAACTCCAGCCTCCACAGAGAGTGCACAATGCCCCCACCTCCTCACACTGCCCCCCAAACTCCACCCTCCACAGAGAGTGCACAATGTCTCCATCTCCTCACACTGCCCCCCAAACTCCAGCCTCCACAGAGAGTGCACAATGCCCCCACCTCCTCACACTGCACCCCAAACTCCAGCCTCCACAGAGAGTGCACAATGCCCCCACCTCCTCACACTGCCCCGCAAACTCCACCCTCCAGAGAGTGCACAATGCCTCCACCTCCTCACACTGCCCCCCAAACTCCACCCTCCACAGAGTGCACAATGCCCCCACCTCCTCACACTGCACCCCAAACTCCAGCCTCCACAGAGTGCACAATGCCCCCACCTCCTCACACTGCCCCCCAAACTCCACCCTCCACAGAGAGTGCACAATGCCCCCACCTCCTCACACTGCCCCCCAAATTACAGTCTCCACGAGTGCAATGCCTCCACATCCTACTGCCCCCCAAACTCCAGCCTCCACAGAGTGCACAATGCCCCCACCTCCTCACACTGCCCCCCAAACTCCAGCCTCCACAGAGTGCACAATGCCACCTCCTCACACTGCCCCCCAAACTCCAGCCTCCACAGAGAGTGCACAATGCCCCCACCTCCTCACACTGCCCCCCAAACTCCAGCCTCCACAGAGAGTGCACAATGCCCCCACCTCCTCACACTGCCTCCCAAACTCCAGCCTCCACAGAGAGTGCACAATGCCCCCACCTCCTCACACTGCCCCCCCAAACTCCAGCCTCCACAGAGAGTGCACAATGCCCCCACCTCCTCACACTGCCCCCCAAACTCCAGCCTCCACAACGAGTGCACAATGCCCCCACCTCCTCACACTGCCCCCCAAACTCCAGTTTCCACAATTAGTGCACAATGCCCCCACTTCCTCACACTGCACCCCACACTGCAGCCTCAAGAGTGAACAATGCCCCCACCTCCTCACACTGCCCCCCAAACTCCAGCCTCCACAATGCCCCCACCTCCTCACACTGCCCCCCAAACTCCAGCCTCCACAGAGAGTGCACAATGCCTCCACCTCCTCACACTGCCTCCCAAACTCCAGCCTCCACAGTCACTGCACAATGTCTCCAACTCCCCACACTGCCTCCCAGACTCCACCCTCCACAATGACTGCACAATGTCTCCATTCCTCACACTGTCTCCAAAACTCCAGCCTCTACAAAGACCGCACATTGTCTCCACCTCCTGAAAATGCTTCCCAAACTCCATCCCCACAGCACGTGTGCAATGTCTCCACCTCCTCACACTGCCTCCCAGTCTGCAGCCTCCACAGGGACTGCACAATGTCCCCCCTTCTCACCCTGCCTCCCAAGGTCCACCCTCTACAGCGACTGCACAGTCTCTCCACATCCTGATACTGCCTCAAAAACTCCAGCCTCAACAGCGACTGCACAATGTCTCCACCTCCTCACACCGACTCCCGAACTCCAGCCTCCACGACTACACAACGCCTCCACCTCCTCACACTGCCCCCCAAACTCCAGCGTCTACAGGGACAACACATAGTCTCCACCTCCTGAAAACGCCTTCCAAAATCTAGCCTCCACAAGAAGTGCACAATGTGTCCACCTCCTCACACTGCCTCCCAAACTCCAGCCTCCAACAGACTGGACAGTGTCACCACCTCCTCATTCGGCCTCCCAAACTCCAGCCTCCACAGCGAGTGTACAATATCTCCACCTCCTCACACTGCCTCCCAAACTCCAGCCTCCACAGCGAGTGTACAATATCTCCACCTCCTCACACTGCCTCCCAAACTCCAGCCTCGAAAGGGACTGCACAATGTCTCAACCTTGTCACACGGCCCCCCAAACATCAGTGTCCAGAGAGTGCACAATGCCCCCACCTCCTCACACTCACCCCCAAACACCAGCCTCCACAGAGTGCACTATGCCCCCACCTCCTCATACTCCCCCCTAAACACCAGCCTCCAAAGAGAGTGCACAATGCCCCCACCTCCTCACACTGCACCCCAAACTCCAGCCTCCAGAGAGTGCACAATGCGCCCACTCCTCACTCCCCCCCAAACTCTAGCCTCCAGAGTGGACAATGCGCCCACCTCCTCATACTGCCCCCCAAACTCCAGCCTCCACAGCGAATGCTCAATGTCTCCACCTCCAAACACTGCCTCCAAACTCCAGCCTCCACAGCGAATGCTCAATGCCTCCACCTCCTCACACTGCCTCCCACACTCCAGCCTCCACAGCGAATGCACAATGTCTCCACCTCCTCACACTGCCTCCCAAACTCCAGCCTCCACAGCGAGTGCACAATGTCTCCACCTCCTCACACTGCCTCCCAAACTCCAGCCTCCACAGCGACTGCACAATGCCTCCACCTCCTCACACTGCCTCCCAAACTCCAGCCTCCACAGCGACTGCACAATGTCTCCACCTCCTCACACTGCCTCCCATACTCCAGCCTCCACAGCGACTGCACAATGTCTCCACCTCCTCACACTGCCTCCCATACTCCAGCCTCCACAGCGACTGCACAATGTCTCCACCTCCTCACACTGCCTCCCATACTCCAGCCTCCACAGCGACTGCACAATGCCTCCACCTCCTCACACTGCCTCCCAAACTCCAGCCTCCACAGCGACTGCACAATGTCTCCACCTCCTCACACTGCCTCCCAAACTCCCACCTCCACAGAGTGCACAATTCCTCCACGTCCTCACACTGCCTCCCAGATTCCAGCCTCCACAGTGAGTGCACAATGTCTCTACCTCCTCACACTGCCTCCCAGACTCCAGCCTCCACAGCGAGTGCACAATGCCTCCACCTCCTCACACTGCCTCCCAGACTCCAGCCTCCACAGCTACTATACAATGTCTCCACCTCCTCACACTGCCCCCCAAACATCAGTGTCCAGAGAGTGCACAATGCCCCCACCTCCTCACACTCACCCCCGAACACCAGCCTTCACAGAGTGCACTATTCCCCACCTCCTAACACTGCCCCCCAACCTCCAGCATCCACAGAGTGCACAATGCCCCAACCACCTCACACTGCCCCCAAAACTGCAGCCTCCAAAGAGAGGGTACAATGCCCCCAGCTCCTCACAATGCCCCCAAACTCCAGCCTCCAAAACGATGTGCACAATTCCCCCACCTCCTCACACTGCCCACCAAACTCCAGCCTCCAGAGTGTACAATGCCCCCACCTCCTCACACTGCCCACCAACCTCCAGCCTCCACAGACAGTGCACAATGCCACCACCTTCTCACACTGCCCCCCCAAACTCCAGCCTCCACAGAGAGGGCACATTGTG